CAAGACAGGGCTAACACACTTTATTTCCTGTCCCCTGTGTGTGTGTTTTCGCCTTTGTTGTGTATTTTTTTGTTTTGAAAATCCTTTACCTTGCAATGTTCACAATTACGATTATTTCTTTGTTACTTGTATAATAACAAAATGCACATGAGTGACTTAACTATTACGCTACAGCACTGTCAAATGTGTACGTTAACCTCATGTTTTTTTATTCAATAAACATGTACAAATGTATGTATATAAAAATATATTTAAAGAGATGTTGGGTACTGTAGTTTATGCTCTGCCTACCGTGTTTCAAAGCCGAATTGCCCTCTCGTATTAAATGGAGCACTGCAGATAGCGATGATGCGACACAACGCCAAGCACAGAACGGAGCAAGCACAACCAACCATACAGTATCTGGCCTACAGTACCTTGACCTTCTGGGCCAGGCGGGGACCACAGGGGTGCTTGTGCAGCGGACTGTTCGAACTGCAGATGCGGTAGTGATGTGGGGAAGTAAGTGCGGATGAATCCACCGGGCCAGGGCCGGAGGGGTGCTCATTTTAATATGGTAGGTGACAGTAATGTTGTTCCCACCCCTCCGCATCTGTTTGGTGTGCCCTCAGGTGCCATGAAGGGAGGGCTGGAGACGGATGAGTCTCCGGTTCTCGTGTTTCCCAGCAGATCCTCTCTGTCCCGCCCACCTCCTCTGCTCACCGAGCCTGTCCGGCCAGAGGTGCTGGTGACCCAGCGGAGCCCAGGAGGGACGGGGCTCGGCCCAGGCGGCCTCTGCTCTGTGCAGCTCCCGGGGGACGCAGCGAGGTGAGGAACACTGAACCCAGACCACCCCTCGGGCCCTGCTCTGACCACCGCACGCACACCGTCTAACCCTACAACAAGCCTAAATGTTAACGCTTAATTACATACTGCAATATTTAAACACATGGGTGATGGAAGAATGGTCAGGATCACTTGCACAGTCTTTTCATCATCCTATGGCAGAATACCTGCTTCTAACCCCTGATCTCTGAAGCCGGTGCCTGTGGCCATGCCAGCTTCCACAGATAAACTGCCAAACCTTCGCTTTCTGGTCATTTGCTCAGTTTAGTCATTTAATTGCTGATGTGGGAATTTCTCTGCTCAGAGCAGGGATGTGCTGTAGGCAACCTGTGCCACCAAACTCTTTTATAGGCGGTGTTTATTTTCTTATG